GAGAGAGAGAGAGAGAGAGAGAGAGAGAGAGAGAGAGAGAGAGAGAGAGAGAGAGAGTTACCTGCTTGTTGTTGTTGGCGGCAGCAGCCATAACCTCTTCGGGAACCTGTGTACATCATTTCAAGTTGTAAATAAGTTCCAAGTGCTCCGACAGTGTGAACCTTGCTGGTGTGCTGTGAATCCTGAGTGCAGTGAGTGCATAAAAATTGAAGCAGTAAAGGCGAGCAAGCTGGATCTTTTTGAGTAAAAGTTGCTCCTTTGTCAAACGTTTTCAAACCGACCAAAAAGCTCTTGAACTGCATTTATAAAATAGTGTCAACAGTCACTTGCCCGTAGCACTGAAGTAATTGGACACACTTGCTCCACATGTTGTTTCTGTAATACCCGCAGCTGGTTGCCTTAAGGGGAAAGGATTCGACTTGTGCAAAGGCACATTGTTGACGACTAAGGGAGAGCCATGCTCTGGCAGTGACTGTGGCATACTTTGTGAAACAAACGCTGATTGTGGATCTAACCAGAAGTGTGACTCCTTCTCTTCTGAGACATGCTTCTCCAATTGCGCCTGTAACCCGGACACTGGGGGGACTATTTGCGGGAAATGCAAAGGCAAGTGCACAGCAAAAACAAGGTTGGTCTTTATCGCCCATGCTGACCAGTTTGCCTGTTTCCTCCTTTGCTTTTCCATTCTTCCTGCAGCTCTCCCATCCTGCCACTGCGTTCACATCTGCAAGTCGTTTATCCTCCCTGCTCTTTTTCTCCCTGCTCTCTTCCTCCCTCCCTTCCCCTTCTCCACCAACCCTCCATTCATTCCTCTCTGCTACTCTTACTTCAGCTTTATGGCCCAAATGAGCACAGCTACAGATGGACATGCATCCTGAGAGTCTACATCTGCTAGTCCAATGTTGGATCTTATGCCTGGTTATTGTGGCCAAGAGAGGTACTGATCGCACTATGGAATTACAATGTCGAACGCTCTTGGCCAGTTGGCTATATTGCATGCAGTGTGTCTATCAGAGATAGATTGAGCTAAAAGGTTTTCCACAATGCCGCCGAGTCAGGTCTGTGCACTGCATGATGCAGGTGGCGAGTTGAGGCTGTTTGGTCTCACTTTTGGGCATACCATCTGTGTTGGGTCATTCCTATACAATGGGAGGTGGGGAAACCTATGGGGGGATAGCCTCTTCCTGGGATTATGTATGTGGGAGCATGTTACAGGGGGTGAAGGCTGCTTTGGGCATATGGCCTCTTCCTACAGATGTACACAGTGAGACCTTATCTTGGGTTAACTGCAGATGGGCCACAAGTTTTTGACTGAACTTTTGCTATATATTTATACTCGGATACTTACACATAGATTTTTTTTTTTTTTTTTTTTTTTTTTTTAAACAGGGCCTTATGGTCCTGGCTCCTTCTATTCTGGGGAGCGTCAGTCCGGTTCCTATTCCACCGGCAAGTCAAAATATATGTTACATTGAGACACACTCCCGCTTCCTTCCGTCTGGCCGAAGGACCCCTGCGCAGCATTGATTGCTCCACCTTGGTGGAGGATTAACTGCCAGCTTGCCATACTTCGCTCTTTCCTCTCAGACCCGGCAACCAGCTCTGTCAAATAGTTCTATCTTATCAAGAAGGAGGATGCCCGTTGTCAAGCTAGCGAGCCTATTCCCTCTCTCTTCAGATGGCGGAAGGAGAAGACATCTTCACTCAGTTCCCAAAGATCATCAACAATATCAGTTTAAAAGTTGCCCTAGCATCAAGAAGGCTGGCCTCTCAAAGAAATGAGAGGGAAGAGATGCTGAGAAATGCTATAGACTAGCTGAGATCAACCTAAAGCATAATACCAACTCAACTTTCTACGCAAAACTCTATTCCAAATCGAAAGAGGAATTAATTGAGTGGACTAAACTGAAACTCAGAGGCCTGCAACTAAGAGCAAGAGTAAAGGACTGGAATTGAACGGAAAAATGACCAAACACTTCTTTCAAAGAATCAAATCCAAGTCAAGGAACCCAAAGATAGAAGCCTCAAAGACACAAATGGAAATCCCACCTCAAAAACTACCCAACTCATCAACATAGCAGCCAATTTTTATAAGGACCTATACTCCATCAAAACCCGGTGGGAATACACAACGAAGTCACAAGGGCCAGGAATAAATTCTTAACACATTTGGACCACTCCCTATCTCAAAGACAGCTAATCAATTAGAAGAACCCATTACCCTGGAGGAACTACACAAAGCTCTCAAAGATATGAAACCCAACAAAGCTCCACAAAAACATGGATTATCCAAAGAATTTTGGCTCGCAAGTTGGCACACCTTAGGCCCCCTTTTCCTAAATTTCCTAAATAAAGCATGGACAAAGGAATCCCCAGGACTAGACCTAAGTGCAGGAGTAATAACACTTCTCTATAAGAAGGGAGATAAGGAAAATATCAGAAACTACCGCCGCATTTCACTGCTCAACGTAGCTTACAAAATCCTAGCCAATCTGCTAGCCACAAGAATTAACCGAATCACAGGGAATTGCTTCCATCTAGACCAAACAGGTTTCATCCCCGGAAGACTCATCTTAGATAATGTCATGACACTAAGCGAATCCATCAGATTAATAAAACAAAAAAGAATCACAACAACCATATTGTTCTTTGATTTTGAGAAAGCATACGAGCAGGTTAACTGGGATTTACTACAAATCTGCATAGAAAAAATGGGAGTAGGACCAAATTTCCGCAAATGGGTAAGAGTGTTATACAGTGACGCTCAAGGGATAGTGCAAGTAAATGGCTTCCTATCTAATCCATACAAAATGACGAGATCGGTATGACAGGCTGACCCACTAGCAGCCCCAATATTTCTTTTCGTCGTGGAGGCCATCGCAACCTTCCTTAGAAAGGACGTCTCGATTGAAAGATTAGAAGACCTAAAGGACGAAAAAGGCCACCTACTCCACCTCCCTACCACCTTACTATTCGTGGATGATCTCACCGTCCTAACCAGAGCCACTAACTCATCCTTCCAAGCATTGACAAGTGCAATGCAAACTTTTCAATTAGCCTTTGAAATGAAGATCAACTGGGCGAAAACGACAGGATGGTGGCTCCCAACTACCCCCTCCCACGGAAATTACACCTGAGGGCATGCAATGGGCTGACCCTACAATCCCAATCCGTTTCCTAGGAATCCAGCTCAGTATAAATGGTTTCCACCCTTCCTCCGCTGCCCTCCTACTATCGGCCATGATTAGTAAAATGCATAGATGGCAACGGACTCACACGTCACTCCTAGGCAGGGTTCTAGTCTTGAACAACTTGGTACTAGCCATGATGTGGTACGCCACCTCGATTTGGTTTCCCTCTTCAGACTACCAACAACAAATCAGGAAAAGAGCAGCCTCATACCTATGGACCGGAAGCCCAGACAAACAACACTTCATCCACAAGGCAACATGGCAAATAGTCACCATGCCCAAAGAAAAGGGAGGTCTAGGCCTCCTACATCCAACACGCCAAATACAAGCCTTACAAACCAAATGGATCCCAAGACTGGTGCTTCAGAGCAATCTGCAATGGACACCCCTAGCACTCAGCACCCTTCAAATCCCCGCCCACTATGTCAGGACTGTTCTGGCTTTTTTAACAAACGGTGGCCCCTTCCAAGAATGACCAAGTCCCCTAACCCCCAGCCAAACCCAGAAGAAGGTACAGAAAAGGAATCCTCCAAATCCTTCCGGGAACTCCTTTTTGCACACTTGGAGGAAAATCTTCCCAGAAAACAAACTCGGCCTAAGAAGGAAAGATGAAGTCCTAAGACAACCCATTTTTCGTAACCCCTGGATCAAAGATGACAAAGACGAAAGCCTCTCTCTCTCCAAAGCAAGCGCCAAATGGGGGCATTGGCTAAAAAAGGCATATGGCAAATCCAACATCTGTGGAACGATTCAACAAATAACTGGAAGGAAGGAAAATATTTCAGAACTATCCAAAAAGGAAACCACAATCTAAAAGCCAACCTATCAATGATTATTGAAAGGATCCCAATAGAACGGCGACGCATACTTAAAAAATCAGAACGAAAATGGGTAGTTGGGAATTGGGCCAGTCAGAAGAACCAGGCCAATATAACAGAAATCCTAAGAATACTAAACAATGAATCACGCAACAACGAATGGGTAACTTGCAGCATCTTCCCCTTGGAGGAACCAGGCAATCCGGTGAGCATCCTCAACAAGGAAAGCATAGCAGAGGGATCCTTCAAAACAAACCAATTAAGATGGATAAGAGTAATAGAAAGTGACCAAAATAGAGTATATAGGCCTGATTTGGACATCCGCCACCTCGAAATTGACCTTACCGAATGGTCGTGGGGCAATCCCGAAACCACACATGACAGTACGTAGATACAAAATAACCGACTACACCCCTAAACTGGGCTACAAGCTGTTTTCCACTCCCATCATGACATCAGAGATAGTAATGAAAAGATGGCAAAAGGAAGAAAGCTCACTCGCCAACGCGATCTTCAAACCCTCCTGGAATTCAATCGTCTGCGCGAGGCCGGTTAAATTGGCCAGCCTTCTTTGGCTCATTACCTATAGAGCAGTCCCGGTGAACCACTGCCTGGCACGAAGACGAAAGAAGGAAGACAAATGAGAACAAGAGTCATGGTGCAAAGTCTGTAACACACAAGCTATGGAAACACTTAACCACTGCTTCATAGAATGCGAGAAGGCCCAAGCCCTATGGAATGAGGTAGAACAAGCATGGTCCAGACACTCAAACAAAACACTACAAATTAACCCGAGCACTCTTTACTTACACATAGAGCAAACCCCACAGTTCAAAGGTTTCGACCTATTCTTCTTCTCACTAATCAGAAAAGCCTCTCGGTGGGCGATTTGGAAAAGGAGGTGTGGGAGCGCTATTTTTCAGCGCTAATTCCCGGTAACCACACCGCGGCAAATTTTATCGACCCACGCGGGAATTAGTGCCGCGCATGAACACGCGCATCATTGATTTTCGAACGTGAAATGTAAAGGCGGGAAACCTGAAGGTGAGAGCACACCACATCCCGCCACGCCTTCGGGCGTGGCTGCTCACAGGACAGCAAGGGACAAGAAGGAAAGAGAGGGAGAGAGGAGGAAGGCAGAGGAAATGAGCAGTGAGAAAGACAGGAAAACGAGAGAAGCGGGGCACAACCAAGATCAGGAAAAGACAACAGAGCAGGGGAGTGTGAAAAGAGACGAAATGCGAACAAACTCTCCCGAGGTGTATAGAGGAGAAGATCATTGAAGAAAGGAAGAGGAATGGACAGCTACTAAGTTTAGAAAAGGACAAAGTAATTGAGGGGAGGGAAAGGAGAAGAAGGGAGAGAGAAGCTCCAAGTACAAGGGACGAAAGATTCAACTGGAATACACAGCTGGGAGCTTTCACGAACGAAAGAGGAATGTAAGAGGACGAGAGTAGACGACACAATCTTCGAGAGTCGAGAGGAAGAAGAGAGCTTTTCCTAAAGAACGGGAAAAGACAGAAAGTCGGGAAGGGTGGGATTTTGAAGAAGCGAGAAGAGACAAGACGCCTAAGCGGGAAACGAGGAAAGAGGCAAAGAGTCTAGCAAGACATCATCCC